AGCAGATGGCATGGAGGATAAGGGACCTGGATCCCACATGGCTGACTGTGTGATTTGAGTCCTGGATCTGGCAGCTTGAAAATCACACCAAGTATGTGTGCATGTGAGCCCAAAATCCCGAGAGGAGAATGGAGGAGAAGGGATTGCAGCATGGCCATCCCCCTGCGTAGGGGCTGACTTCATTTTTTCTCTCTTTCTTTCTGAATCTGATGAGTGTATGAGTCCTATAGCAAACAAAAAAAGAAGAAGAAAGAAGGAAAGAAAAAGAAAGAAAGAAAGAAAGAAAGAAAGAAAGAAAGAAAGAAAGAAAGAAAGAAAGGAATTCTTAGGTTAGTGACTAGTTAAATATGCAAGTCTTTATCTCAGAGAGACTTGGAGTCAGTCGAAAAGAATGCCTGAGTTTAACCTGAATGTAGATAATAAGGCCTTGCTATTTATGTGGTGATGTTATGTCAGGGTCAGGACCTACGGAACTGCCCATGGTCATTAGATCAAGGTAGTCTGTTTTGGCAAGATTCATGTTTGTAGACATGACTCTCCCAGGTCCCTTGGACAGCATCTTAGATGAAGAAGAATAGTCAGAATATATCCTCACTCTTAGTTCTTAAGTAATGAAGGGAACAGAATTCGACATTCCAGGAAATGACAAATACCTTTTGCTCCCGTTGTGTGCAGCCTGGGAATAATATAGTGGTAACCCTCCTCTGTGAGGCTTAACTAATAAGCAGGAACTTGTGAGGATGATGGTGAGGGCAAGGGATTTGGGACAGAGGAAACAGTCTCGCAAGGTGAATCTGGGGGACTATCACTATAGGAGTTGAGGGGTACAAAGAGAGGAGTAAGAGTACATGAGTCTGTACAGGTAAATGGGCACTCTATCATAAAGGCCCTCCTAGACCATGCATAAAAATGTAGATTTTGGGGAACCAGCAGTTAGCATAATGGCTATGTCGCTGGACTCCCACATGGTCGACCACAGTTCGCGTCCCGGACCCGGTGGCTTAGAACACGCCGGGCACGTGTGCATGCGTGCCCAAGATCCCAAGAGGAGAATGAATGGAGGAGAAGGGATTGCGGCATGACCATCCCCTCTGGGGGGTGATTTCTCGCTTTCTGTCTCTATGTCTCTCTCTGTCTGGCTGGTGAGCACACGCGCCCTATAGCGAAAACCTCTTTAAAAAAATGTAGATTTTGTTTCCTATGCTAGAATTTTCCCAAGTGTGTTGTACAGGACACAGTTCTTTGTGGTGTTGATATAACGTATAAAAACGATTCTAAAACCAAATCAGCTTGCAACTGTATTTTGAACAGGGAAAGTTATCGGAACACACGATGGGCCGATATGCACTGTGAGCGCACAGACAGCAGCTCTAGTTCAGCATTTCCCACAGAGGTCCTTCTGCGAGGGCTGTCTCACCAGATGTCTCACGAGCCTGACCTGACTTCCAGAAATGCTGTTGTGTTGAAATAAAGTCACAGAAGTATTTCTTTTTTTTTTTTTAAGAATTATTTTTGTTTAACTTTGTTTATTTATTTATTTATTTATTTTAATTTGATCAGAGAGGGACAGAGTGAGAGAGAGAAAAAGAGAGAGAGAAAGAGAGTGAGAAAGCAAGCCACCAGGTCTTGGACTTGAACCTCAATTGATCATGTGGGAGTCCAGCACCCTTAACCACCATGCCACCTGCTGGACCCCATCCACAAAAGTATTTCAAACAAAGAAATGATATGTCCAGCTCTGAACATCCATCTAACCCTTGGCAGATATGGGAGGGATAGACTGACCTGGGGACCAGTGATCTTACTCCAAGATTGTTGTTGTCTTGATGCTGGTTGATGAGAGACCAAGCTAGGCAGAGGCAGAAAAGGTGGAGAAGATGATGACGAATGTGAACCACAGAAGTTTGACTAAATTTAACATGAAGACATGAGGAATAAGAAACAAGGAGGTATCTAGGCTAGCTCCCAGGTTCCCAACGAAGCCGACTGGTGGATTTATAGCCAAGACTGGGAATCTGGGAAGCCAGTTGGGTCTGGGGAGAGTTGATAAATGTCACTTGGAGTATAATGAGTTAGGAGTTCCTGCAGCACGTGTAGGTCTGATCAAGTAGGCAGTAGGGTGGTGATTCTGAAACTCAGATAAGGACTAAAAACACAGCTGTGCTAAGCAGTAGCATATAGGTATAGCTGGCGCTATGGGCATAGAGGAAATTGGGAGAGAAAGGTGTCCTAAGAGGAGCCTAAGAGGGTAGAAGACCAAGGAGAAAGCCCTGGGTTGGGCAGAGGCATGGGAAGCAGCAAAGAAGATAGAAGAAATCCAGAGTGGGAGAAAAGAGCAGCATTCCAGAACCCCCGAGATGAGAGCGATTCCAAATGCTGTTTGTGTTTTCAATGCTTTGTTTCCTTCTAGCAGCACATTTTAGGTTTGGCTCAGGCTAATATTAAAATTAGCTCTCATTCCTGAGCACACAGTGACAGACTGCTAGGGAAAGTGTCCCAGAACCACATTGTGAGAAAAAGAAAACCCAGCCCAGGATTTTAAAAAAATGGAAAAAAAAAATTGTTGTAAAATGTTCCCGAGTTGGATAGTTCATATGCAGGCAAATCAAAGCTGATTTTGTTCTTGTTACCGGTAAGGACAAGGAGAGAGACTCATCCACCTGATTCCTTCTGAGTTGAATCCTCTGTTGAGGCCGTGGCAGCAATGGCCTTCCAGGTGGGGTTTGAGAGCAGGGTGGAAGGGGGCTGGCAGAGTGCTGTCTGCCCAGCAGCCCCATCACGTTGCTGCTGCTTCCCAAACTCGTCATTCTACTCTCTCCTGTTCTCCCCCTTCCTTCTCTAGCCTCTCCTCTCCCCTCCTGCTCAACCCTAGAATGGGCGTTGCTCCCTGATGAGGTACCAGGCTTCTGAAAAGTCATCACACTTTTTTCTATGTGAACATGCATCATGACTGTTCCGGAGACACAGTCCTAGGGATAGGCTTCTAAAGACTTTCAATCCTGGTGGGAATTCAGAAATATAAACAGGGCCAGCAGATGGTGTAGCAGTTATGTCGCTGGACTCCCACGTGGCCAACTGTGGTTCAAATCCTCGACCTAGTACCTTGAAACTCACACTGGGTACATGTGTGTGTGTGCTCAAGATCCCGGGAGGAGAATGGAGGAGGAGGGATTCTGGCGTGGCCATCCCCCCCAGGGAGTGATTACTCACTTTCCCTCTCACTGTCACTGTCTTTCTCTCTCTGGTGGGTGCACATGCCCTATGGTAAAAACCTCTTTTAAAAAAAGGAAAAAAGAAACATAAGCAAATAACTAGATCTGTAAGTGGTAAGTGCTCTGATGGTCCAAAATTCTGAGAAACAAGATGAGGGACAGGTAATCTCTACCTGGAGAGGACGATGAGGGATGGCTTCCCAGAGGAAGGACACAGGGTTGACTCCTATCAATAGAAATGTCTGCTTCAGGGTGAAGTTAACTCGTAGGCCACCCTCCTCTTGGCATGAATGACACAATGTGAGCAGTTGACTGTCACTTAGAAGAGAAGGCTGAGGCCCCAGGGGATTTAAGAGATGGTGCTTTTGACTAGAGAATAGAAACAGATGACTAAAATGCGAGGAGATACGTGTGAGGAAGGAAGCAGGAGACGAGTGATGGACAGGCTAGCAAAGGCTCACTGTGGCAAGAGGAGGAGACAAAATTCACCTCCTTCGTGGTCATTCTTAAGGCTGGGCCTCAGCTCCGTTCATCTAATATTTAGTGCATTTTTCTGGTTTGCCTTCCTTGCTTTTGCTAAAGACGACACTTAGCCAGCTTTTAGTTCATTTTGTCATACATTTGCGTCTTATCAACTCCAAGTCCCTTGTTTTTAATATGGTAAAAGATACCTGCGTTTGCGTCTCTTGAGTGTTGCTTTTCCATGCCCTCCTTAGTGCTGCTTTCCCTCCCAACATCTTCTTTTTCTCTACACCCACCTTCCCGTTTTCTGGTCCAGCATCTTCTCTCAGGAACAGTACTATTTTTAAAGCATGATTGTTTTTATTTTCTTCTAGTCTGTTGATTTTCTTCTTAGCTTTGGTTCTTTTGACTCGAGTTTTTTTTTATATTATTTATATTAACTCGGGGTTTTTAGAAATGTGCACGACTCCTCTGCTTTCTTTTCTTAGAATACTGCTTATTGTCAGCTTTTAGAACGGCTTCTCCTAGTTTTCTTACTTCTGCCTTACAAAGTTGCCCCAGGGGATGTGGCGTGTAGGCGGGGAAGGTAGGGAACCCAGAGGGGGATTTAAGGAGAGTAAATTCTGAGCTTTGCTTGGCAGCTCTGATGAGCATCTGATCTAGAAGGTTTTGCTTTTTTTGAAACATTTTTTTGCTAGAGGGGATGTGTGCTTGCAGGATACAGAGAAGAAAATAGGGAAAGTGGGGAAGAACCCCGCATGGGGAATGCACACCACAAACCCTTCTCTTCCACTTCTCCTTTCCGGATTTTTGGCATGTATACACACACACCTGGTGTATTTCTCAAGTCACCAGGCCAGACTTGAAGCGTGCAGTCGGCCACGTGGGATCCAGCTATCTTAACCACCAGGCCACCAGCCAGTCCAGCTTTTGCCCTTTTCACTGTCTTGCAGAGTTTGTACAACTACTGTTAAATCTGTGAATATCCCATAGTTGTGAAAGCTGCACAGCCTCACATTCTGAGAGGTAAAGAGGACTTGGCTGCTTCACGCTCACATCTTACTGGTTGAGGGCCCATCCTTTTTCCATCTTCTCTGTCCTCTTGTTGAATCGCATCCCTATTTTGAAGAAAGACAGACAAAAACAAAGCAAACACTAGCATGTGGCTAGGAGCCTGAGACTCCACATCATTATCCCTCCAACCCCATCCTGGCTGCTTCCCTCAGATTCTAGTTTCAGCTGGAGCTCCCAGGGGCAGGAGCAGGGCTGGGTGGGAGAATGCTGTCCCCTTCTGTCGGTGCCTGACCCTGCTGCCTCGCCTCACAGGAGTGCTGTTCAGCATCGAGGTCACATCCACCTACTTCGCAGTGAGGAACTACTGGCGAGGCTTCTTCGCAGCCACGTTCAGTGCCTTTGTGTTCCGTGTGCTCGCAGTGTGGAACAAGGATGCTGGTAACCGGGGCCCTGGGTGCAGGTCGCACAAACTAGGAATGACGCGAATTGGGTGTGGAGGGAAGCTCTGTGGGGAGGTTCAGAAAAGAAATGTAGGGCCGGCCCAAGTGATCAAGGGAGCCAGATCCCACGTGGCCAGCTGCAGTTCGAATGTGGCCTCTGGCAACTTGAAAAACATGCCAGGAATGTGTGCATGTCCTAACAGGATAGGGAAACAGAGGAGGAGGAATTGCAGCATGGCCACATCCTACTGGGGGGTGATCTCTCTCTCTCTCTTTCTGGTGAGCACACAGACCCTCTGGCAATACCTATATATATATTTTTTAATGAAAGAAAAAAATCAGAAAAGAAATGGATGGCATTATTTGGGAAGTGAGATCAAGGCCCAAGAGTATAGGCCAAGGATACAGGTCATGGAGAAAGGGAGTGCGTGGGGTGTGAAGGAAATTCAACTGAAGAGGAGAGACTGGAATTAGAGGAGAAAGGAATTCACGCCCAGAAGGAATGGCCTGTTTCCCCCTCTGTGGATTTCTGTGAAGCGCCCACCACAATCTTTTCATCCTGTAGTCACCATCACTGCCCTGTTCAGAACCAATTTCAGAATGGATTTCCCCTTTGACCTGAAGGAGCTCCCAGCCTTCGCTATCATCGGGTCAGTAGGGTCACCTGCCCATGGTGTGGCAAGCAGGGAGTGGGACGAGGCCATGGATGGGAAGGGACCCAAGCTGGGAAGGAGGTGCGGAGGGCCCAGATATAGTGTAAGCGCTGGGGGAGGCAGGAAGTGATGGCAGGTGGAAGCCTGGGATTTGCATCTCTGTGACGACTGGGTCTGGACCAGGGGGGCTTCACATGGGTGAGGTTCTAGCCCTGTAACTTCCACCACAGGATCTGCTGTGGGTTTCTGGGTGCCGTGTTCGTGTACTTACATCGCCATGTCATGCTTGGTGTCCGGAAGAACAAGGCCCTCAGCCAATTCCTGGCGAAACAGTGAGCCACTGCCCTTCCCTTGCCTGATTCACTCATTCTCTGGTTCCTCCAAGAGTCCCTCCCTTTTTATCTTTGCGGAAGGTTTTACATGCCTTTGGGTGGTTTGCATTAAACCATGAAGAAGCCCTGATTCCGTGGGTAGGAGGTGGGTCATGGGGGTCTCTCCCTAAAGATCATCATTTTGGTAAAGAGAATACTCTTTGCTTAAAGAACCAAGACTAAGTGGCCTACAGGAAACTTTGGCTTGCTGAGGTTCAGCCTGGTGTTTTCCCCGGGCAGTGCTAACTCTGTGTCTTTTCCAGCCGCCTGCTATACCCTGGAATTGTCACCTTTGTCATCGCCTCACTCACCTTTCCACCAGGAATGGGTCAATTCATGGCTGGAGAGGTCAGCTCGAGGGGAGTCTGACATGGGGGGACAGGGGAGCGGTGGTCAGGTCACTGAGCACATGACCAGGTTACTAATTCTGGTCTAGGGCAGCCCAGAAAAGGGGACGCAGCATGCAAGCCCCTGGAACTTGGAAGCACAGTCCTCTTGCCTGAGGGTAGAAGCTCTCTTAGACAAGAGGACAAAAGGAACCCTGGGGAATCAGTTCTGCAGAACAATGAAGTCCACTGTATTCTAGGGAACCTGCCCCTTTGTTCTCCCCTCACAGCTGATGCCCCGGGAAGCCATCAGCACCCTGTTTGACAACAACACGTGGGTAAAACATATGGGTGACCCTGAAAGCTTGGGTCAGTCCGCGGTGTGGATTCATCCACATGTCAACGTGGTCATCGTCATCTTCCTCTTCTTCATCATGAAGGTACTGCTCCCCACACTGCTGCCCCCCTAAAGCCACCATCTGCTTCTATCCGGGATCACTGGGTTTTCATAGGGCAGCGAGGGGTAAATCTTCGCCTTGTTTTTGCCCAGGCCATAGAGTAAAATGCTGCTTGTCTGTAAAAGTGAAACAGTGTCTGGGTTAATTGTTCCATTCCTGTCGACCCAGAGATGTTTGGTGTGGTTATTTAACCTAATAACTCTACTCGTTCAATTATTAAGGCATTGTAGCAGCCAAGTAAATAAGGACATGATCTAGTTTAGTGATACAAGTAACTGTAAAAACCTCGGATTAATTACCCCTCATATTAGATAATTAGGCACTTCATTCATGGCTGATTATCTTTTTTTAGTTGATTTGCACATCCGAATTTTTCCCAGTCTGTGAGTAATCACTTTGCTAGAATTTCAAGAGATCAAATATTTAAATGAATTTTGTTAGTGACTATAAATAATTCTTATCATTTTTTAAAGTTTTTTTGGGGGGGAGTTGGATAGGACACGTGCACTGGCTGCAGAGAGAGAGAGAGAGACAGAAAGAGGAAAAGTGAGAAAGTGAGAAATCATTTTCTCCTAAAGGGGATGGTCATTCTACTGTCCTTTCTGCTCCATTGTCCTCTCTGGATTTTGGGCACACACACTCACGTGCCTAGTGTGATTTACAAGCCACCAGACTAGAACCATGGTTGGCCATGTGGGAATCCAGTGTCTCAACCACCACACCATTGGTTGGCCCCCAGCTGTTCTTCTTCTTTTCTCTTATCTACATTTATTTTATGCTGACTTTATTCCCGTGCCGTAAGTTTTTGTTTCTTCAGCTTCTTCTGGGATATCTTTTTCTTCTGTGCGACTTCCTCTTCTGGTTAGGAACAATTTGCTCCTTCTCAGTGAGGATCATCTCGATGTGGCAGGGGGAACTCATGTATGGGCTAATCCACCCATGGGCTCTGTATGTATGATGGCACGTCTGGGGCGCCTTGTTCACCTGAATGTGCTCAATGACCAGAGAATCCACATCTAACCCCTTAAGTTCAGCATTACTCTCTGCATTTCTAAGCATGTGCAGCAAAAATTCAGCACTCATCTGGGGCCACCGACCTTGTGTCCAGCCCCACTGTTTAGCCTGGGCACATCTACCAACTCCGCCATTGTAATGACAGAATGGCACACACTGCTTCTGTAAAGTGACATCCTTCAGATACTTGGTGGCTTTTCGGATATGCATACCCTTGATGACCTGGGCAGTTTCACGAGTGTTCTTAAAGTGAACATGAAGATTTGAACCTCTTGACTTGCATGACTTCGTGGGGTTCTCTGGGTCAAGTGAATAGTGAACCATTTTCGAAGATCACCTGAGGCCACTAACTTTATTTAGGGAGTGAGACTGTAAAGATTTTGTTATTCTCCAACCATTTTCTCCTAACTTAAAGTAGGGAACAAAAGCTGATCTCTTCTATACCAGTTCTTTTTCCTATTTGCCCATCAAGGATCATATATTTATAGACCTTTATACAAAGGAGTTATTTCCATCTCTGGTTGTGATGTCTATTATAATTTTGCTGATTGGTTTTTTTTTTTTTTATGACTGCCTTTTATTCATAGTTTAGCTTGCTTAAATAATCCAAAATTTTCCTCTGTATGTTAGGGTTCTCATTTGTAAGTCTGTCACGGGGTTTTCATGCTTTTGAGTACCGTGCTATTAACTTATTTATGATACCTTTTATGAATCTACATTTTTCCAGGATATGAGTCACTATTGTATTCATATTGCAATAGCTACAGTGGGCTCATTTATTCACTTATTCAATAAATATTATTAAGCACTTAGTATGTGCCAAGTATATCATCTTTGGCTAATCTCATGCCTGCAGTTGGAGAAGTTTATCTAAAATTTTCTTCTGTGCTTTTTTGCTGCTTATTTAGTGTACTTATCAATGATATTATGGTGAGAGTTATCAGATGCTTGGCATCTGTAACGTATTCTCAGGATTTGTCGTTTCTAGAAGCTGCATTTGTGCATGCTCTTCTCCATTCCACTCATGATGGCTTAACTGGGTCTATAGCTTCCATATTTTACATACCCACTTTATTAAGTAACTCCTTTTTCATTTCTCCCTTCAAAAGTTTTTATTTTTTTCTCACCAAGAAGTTCTCAGTGTCTTGTCAGGGATTTGATTTGGGGATTTTAGTTATAAAGTTCATCTTCTCCAATTTATAAATCCCAACAATTAGTTGTTGAGTATACAAACTTAACTATAGTAAACCGAGTTTAAGGTCTAATGGCATCTCAGAATTTATTGTCAAATAATGATAACTGTCTAATCACTGGGCATATACTACCCTTATTTTTCCAAAGCAGAGGAACTAGGAAATAGGATACAATGGCAAATTATAGTAGAAAAGTGACTAAAACCATTTTTTCTCAGTCTGATTTGAAGTTCAGTCTGTGTGGTCTTTTGGAAGTATCACTACAGGCAAGTAAGATTCTCAGTTCTGCATATATATCAAATGTAATATGACATATATCATCTATATAAAACATATATAGTATATAATATTGGAGAAAACTTTTACCTTCCTCAATCTCAAGAGATGGAAAGTATCCTCATATTGTAAATCAAGAGCTTTTACAATGAGTATGAATTTAATTTAACACAGACTTCTCAGTTTCTCTTTTAATAAGTCTAACATCATTACCTGGTACCATTAAATTCTCTGTACAGCCTGAGGCTCTGTAGAATTATTTCTTTTCTTTTCTTTCTTTCTTTTTTTTTTTTTTTTTAAGGTTTTTGCCATCACCAGAGAGAAACAATGAGAAGGAATGTAAGAAATCACCCTCCAGGGGGGATGACCAGTCCATAATCCCTTCTCCTCCATTCTTCTCCTGAGATTTTGAGCATGCATGCACATGGACCTGGCATGATTTTCAAGCTGCAGGGTCTAGGACTTGAACCACAGTTGGCCATGTGGGAGGCCAGTGCCTAAACCACCATGCCATCTGCTGGCTCCTGTAGAATTCTTTTTGCTTGATCTTTATATCACTTAGTAGTAGTCGTAGTAGTAGTATTTTAAGAGGTTTTTGTGTTAGGGCACATGCACTTGAAAGAGAGACACAATGAGAGAGAAAGTGAAAAATCGCCCTCCCGGAGGATGGCCATCCTGCAACCCTTTCTCCTCCATTCTTCTCCTAAATTCTTGGGGACACATGCACACATGCCCATCATGATTTTTGAGCCACCAAGTCCGGGACTTGAACCACCATCAGTCATGTGGGAGTCTAGGGAAGCAACCACTATATCATCTGCTGGTCCCTATATCACTCATTCTTGAGATGGATCTAAAAGTCGTAGAATCTCTTAGAACTGGGTGTTTAAAATCTTGGGAGTTACTCGTGTTCCACATCACTTCTGAATCTTTTCTTTCATGTGCTAATAGCTACAAAAGTCTGCTAATCTCATGTGTCTTTCTTTGTGCTAAAGGATTTGATGACTTAGTGCCCTCTGTCTTGATACTATTCTTACACATATCTTGGAAGGTAATCTAAAGTTCATCCTCTGAAATCAGACCTATCAGTCGCCTATTATCTGTATTACTGGAGTTTTCAGACTGCCCTGAGCCTACAAAATCCCTTATGGCTTTCATGTACTCATTCCAAAGAGATGGTGCAGGATAGTGCAAGGGGGCTCAAAGTCAGTCACTTCAGCATAAACTGCAGGTGTCTGGAACCCTGGCTCCAGGCAGTCTGATGCAGCTTCCGGTGGGGGCTGGGCATCTGCATTTCAAACAAGTTTCCCTGGGCGAGCTTTCACTGTGACGGGGTTCCCTACAAATATCAGTCCATGGGGCTTTTTTGGCCTTGCATGAACACTGTGTGACCACCCAGTCTTTCCTTCCTTCCTACCTACCTGCTTACTTCCTACCCGTGTTTACTAAGCTCGTTGCCAGAGCAGAGAGAAGGCATACACGCTCTCTGTCTTCAAGGAATTCTGTCAACATTCTTTTCATCTTGCATATTTAACTTTGCAGCTTTCAACTGTTTTACATAGTCATATTTTGACATGAAGAAGCATGTTTTGCCTCATCTCAGGGCTTTTGAGATAAAGCTTTTTCAGAATCTTCTTCATTGCCTCTTCAGATCAGCCATGGCTAAAGAAAATTCTCTCTAAAATTCAGAAAATTAAGAATTTATTTTTGCGCCAGCTGGTGGTGTGGTGGTTGGGGCAGCTGGATCCCATGCGGCTGATGACATAGTTTGATGCCCAAACTCAGTGATTTGGAAAACGTGCTGGGCACGTGCCCAAAATCCCAAGAGGAGAATGGAGGACTGGGAATTGCAATGTGGCCATCTGCCCTGGGGGTACTTCATCACTCTCCCCACTGCCCCCATCCAGCAAGCATATGTGCCCTAGAGAAAATGAAAAAAAAAAAAAAAAGAAAGAAAGAAAGAAAAGAAAAAACATGAGGAATAGTTTACAGTGCAATTAGTGCCATTTCAAAATTGTAAATACTTTAATCCTGGCAGTTCCTGCCTTAGTTGCTACCATCTTGTGTCTAATTAGGTTGAGATCCTTTTCTAAGCTTGGCTTACTTATTTGAGCCCATCACTTAGTTTATATGTCTCATTCTTTCATTTCTTTTACATATATTTCAAAAGCTCAACCACTCTTCCTTTCTCCATTCTACTTCTCAATTCTTTTGTACTCTTTGCCCCAGAATGTATATGCTGCTTTTCAAAAAAAAAAAAAAAAAGAAAGAAAGAAAGAAAAATAGTCCCAATTTCTATTGAAAAAAGTTGGCCTTGGAGATCTTTTTTATTACACTGGCAGATTTACCAGGCTTTCTCATTTTTCCTTTCCTTTATGGCCAAGACAAATCTAATGTTCAATCCTTGTAAAGGTGATTTGATGTCAAAGCGAATGACTCAGGCAAGACAGTCTTCCCTCCAGAGTCCCTTGTGAGGCTTACCAGGCAGGTGACTTTGTAAATGACCAGGTCAAAGCTAAATTTAAGTGACTAAGTTTAAGGTAAGTTACTGAGACTTTAAGGTGTCTGCCACTTGGAACTCGGGCTCCTTTTCAGAAATATAACCTGACTAGGAAATGGTATCCCCCAGCTTCAAGAAGGTCAGGATGCTCTGCTGAGGTGAACTTTTGGACTAAATGTGTAGAGTGGACTTGGGTCTTGCAGGGACATTGAAGGTGAATTCTCTGGGGCTCCAGTCCCTGTTCTGGATTGCTAAAAGGCAAATGTAACTACTCAAAGTAAGAGGAATTGGAGTTAGCCATGGAGGAACTTTATTATGTTATCTTTGGTGAGCCCTTAGTCAGGGAGCTTCATGTGTTTTTGGTCCTGGAGGAGAGGAGACTGCCAAGATGGCTTCCAGAAGGATTTCCTGTTGCAGGATTTCTGTGGTTCCTGAAGCAGAAAGAGGAAGCTATGGGAAGGGAGCTGAGTGTGCACGTGTACTGGGCAGAGTTGAGAGGGTGTCTGATGCTTCTTTTCACCTTAGTTCTGGATGTCCATTGTGGCCACAACAATGCCCATACCCTGTGGAGGCTTCATGCCTGTGTTTGTGCTAGGTAAGTTCTCAAGGGAAGCCTGGGGTTTTACCGAGAGCTGCAACTGAGGGTTCAAAGAAAACGATGAAGGCTGGGTACTGGCGGTTCACAGTTTCAGAGATTTGCTCTGAAAACAGAGAGCGTGAGGTACCTGAGTCTCACTACACCTTCCCTCCTGTATCTTCCATCTAGGAGCTGCATTTGGAAGGCTGGTAGGAGAGATCACCGCCATGTTGTTCCCTGATGGTATCCTGTTTGATGGCATCCTCTACAAGATCCTACCTGGGGGCTATGCAGTAATTGGTAAGATGCATCTCACCCCTGCAAACCAACACTGAGTACCCCACATCTCTGCCCTGTTAAGGTTTTATTCCAAGAGACACGATATGGTCTTTCTTTCTTTCTTTTCTTTCTTTCTTTCTTTCTTTCTTTCTTTCTTTCTTTCTTTCTTTCTTTCTTTCTTTCTTTCTTTCTTTCTTTTTTTTTTTTTTGAGAGG